GGCAAGATGAAAACCACTATTTTCTGTTTCAAACTTTCACATAGCATCTTTAGGTTATAATAACTTAAAAAATTCAAATCCAGATTTTCATTTTCATTTTTTTCCCCAAAATGCAATAAATCCATGACACTTTTTTTTTTTTTCCAAAATGCAATAAATCCATTGAATCAATATAAAAGTTATTTTCATATTGAAACCATTGAAAATACACACAACATAGTAAGTTGATCCACATATGACAGCCTCTGGACTTGGTCAATACTAATCTTATATACAGGCACTGGACTAAAAATACATTCAATCAGTAATCGCTCCCAAAATGAATTCAGCGGGTCATCTTGTTAATGCTATAAATTAATTACAACAATAAAAGAAAGTTTCATCATGAACATACATAAACAACAATATCACATTAGACCACAGACATTCCAAAATGGCATTTCCCTTATATTCAACTTCCAAAAGTGCATTCATCTTTGGCATGTTACATTCATTTAGTTGACTAGTGCTATAGCCTACGCTGTATTAACAAAAACATTAATGGCATTAATAAAAACACTTACACTGACAAGCTACTTAATATCGCGTTCATAATCAAATGCGATTCATCTGCGATTATGAACGTGATATTCCAGTGATCTACGGCTCTGTGTATTAAATGCCGCTCCATCTGAAAGCACGTGATGGAGATTTACTACTGATCACAGAACCCGCTTTACTGACGAGATGCGCATGAAAATCATATGCGATTTATCGTGCAGCCCTAATTTTTTTGTTTGTTCGTTGATCACAAAGTACAAAGTAGGCTAGATGAGGAAAACTAGGATGCTAGGTGTATTCAAAGCACCGCCATGACTGTCTAGAGTGTGTGGAATGGTGTGCTGTGATTGGTTGAGCGGATGTATCGCATTCTGCAGAGAAGGGAGACTGGCGTTTGTCGCGGTTTGAAAAGAAAGGGAGAAAACATAACAGAATAACACGGCGGATATCGCATTTTGAGTAAAATTTAAATTTTTCAAACTTTTCAATACCGACCAGATACAACACTGATTTTGGCGGAAACTCAATATTTTTTAAAAATGGCGTTTATCGCATTTTGGAACCAAACTCTTCATATATATACATACAGCAGGTAGAATAACTAATAGTAATGTAATAATTAATTTATATATAAAATTAGATAATAATTGTATAAATTCAATAAAAAAACATTTTAAAGAGGTCATTCTTTTTTTTTAATGATTTTCTATTAAACCTGCTACATTAGCCGTTTAAAAACAGTTAAATATTTAAAAGTGATTCTTGAAGTGTTTCCAGTGCACTTCATGAGGAATCCTGACCTAAATATACCTAATGTACTAATCTGTTTCATATTAGCATCACTGAGGGATCATGATCCTTTAGTTTCCACAGTCTCTTACGTTATAAATGCCATCTGTGTGATATAATGGAGAATAAACAAAAAAATAAAGACAGATGAAGAATGGAATCTTTATGTGCATGGCAATTAAGGAAAATGGTTCAAATCCACTTTAAGTGGCAGCCGCTGTTATCCGTGTTTATGGTGCTGTAATCCAATCAGCTTTGAGAAAAGAACACTTAAGCAGTAAAGTCTAACTTGGTGACATAACACAAGACGGCAGATACGATTAAGCAAAAGAGCACAACCGATAAGCATTCAGGTTAATGCAAAAGGAGCCACTGACCCAACAAATATCCCAAGAACAACCTCAAACTTCTATTTCAAAGCCTTGTGCTGACACTGCATAAACTTCTAAAGTAAAAACAATCCTTTAAATGTAGACAATTGTGTATCATTTTTCATTTTTGACTAAAGCGTATGTAATGAGGTGTAGCCATGTTTCTAATAAATTTTTGCAAATGAATTTTCCCTCAATGATGTGTCTGTCTTGTCACAGTGATGAGCAGAAGGGTTTCTGGTCACATGGTTGGCATTTGTAGGCCAGAGTAAAGAGCAATGATTTAACTTTTACATAACACATACCCGATGTGAAATCCTGATAGCTTCATGCAAATAGAACAGAATTACACTGTAGTTTCTGGTAAGACAGCCGGTCAGTGTGTCAGTAAGTCACTTTTGTTTCTGCTGTCTGGTCGTCATGAAACCAACATAATTCATGCCATGTTCACGTTAAAGACCGCATTGATGCCAAACCAAACAGTAGGAGAGGCAAACGGCAATGCTCTAAAATAAGATCCACTCATCTAATGGCTCTAAATGGGAAAACAGCTTATTTTATGCATGTATTAGTCTGTGTGCGTTTTATTAATGTGAAACGATTATCGTCATTTTAGTGTTGACTAAATAAAAAGGAAGGCTTATTATTAGAACAGAGAGGATGTGAGTTACATGAAGGCCGATGACACAAAACAGACCATGCAAAACGTCCAGGATTTATATATATATATAAAAAATATTCCTGACAAAGTGCAGATCTGCTCTTTTTCAATAGAGTACATATATAACCCCCTACAGCCTTCCTGTCCTCAGCTGCCCTGTGAACATGAGCCACCCTGTGTATATTTAAACACAGCCCCACCTCACGACAGTATGTCCGGACATGTACGCCTGCAACTGCCTTAAACATTTGTCCAGAGAACAAACAAAAATGGAGCGACAAATAATCACTTTGAGCTTACAGGCAAAGAGTTTGGATCATTAGTTAAATTATGAAGAAAACTAATTATGATTTAATATTTACTCAAACCCAGGTGAAGAGTAAGAAGAAGCCAAGAAGCTAAGGCTAAAGAATTCTCTGTTTTGTTAAGATTTTGCAAGGAGAGACTAATTTAATAATTAATGAACGAATTACATGTTTTCGCTAAAAAAAGCAAAAACTAGGAAAAAAAGAAAGTGCAGAGTGGTATTAACCATAAAGCGTAAACTTGTCATTATTGTGGTAAATTACTGTCACAGTGATTATGATCATTTAAATTTATAACATATTTTAATAAATAAATACTATGCACCTGAATTATTATTATTACTACTGTTATATTTATTATTTACTTTGTGACAAGAAAGAGAGTGCAAAGTTGTATTAACCATGGTATTAATGTGAAAACTTGTTATTGTCATAGTACATTTCTGTCATAGTGCTTACAATCATTTAATTACATATAACATTTAATTATAAATGAATGAATGCTTTGCTCCAGAATTTAAATAATTTCACTATGTGAGAGGAAAGAAAGTACAGAGTGGAAACTGTCTGGAAAAGCAATGTGTTGTGTATTTTATCATCATGATACATAAATATCTGCCGCTGAGAAATAATCTGTCGAGTTTTGGGGCTCTCACTAATTTTATAATAATATTTGACCATTTTTATTATAAAATAATATATAATACAATAAAACATTTCCATATAATAACTACATTTGTAATTCATTTGATATGTAATTAAATTCATAACATGATATTTTGGTATAATATAAAAGCATAACAGAATTTAACTTGACGCAACAATGGGTTTAATTTTTGCATATTTTGTTCATGCATAATTAAAACTCATGTTTACCATTAAGAAGTGATAGCAAGTCACCGTTACGCATGCATTTGTTACATAAATAGGCGAGACTGTTGTGATAAACGCTTTTTATTGTCTATATCAAGATCGGAGTTCAAGTTCAAACTCAAGTTCATGATGGAAGGCAAAGGCAAAGGCAAATGCGCGGCGTGGCCACCAGACCAGACCGCATGGGTCTGCACGGCTCCAGCAAAGCGCCTCCCCTCGCTCGCGCTCTGTCTCTCTCTCATTCCCTCCTGTGAATGCTGTGTAATGCTCAGTAACATAACTACGTCAGTAGAACAGCAGGTTTGAGCTCTGCTCACACGGCCGGCCATGCTGCCCAGCGAAAACAACAACACGCAGCCGACACCTCCATCTCCAACATTTACGCTCAACAATATCACCAGAACCGCATAAAGCGAGGATTTACCTCCCAACAAGTCGTGTTTAGAGAAACATTCAAGTTTATTAAAGTGACTGCAAGCGTCACCACATGTTACTCACCAAATACAATAGTATTTATATTTTCGGGGGATATATTATTGCTCGATACAGAAAAACATCCCACTAATTTGACTCTCATTACTGTCCCACATGCCAGAATCACGACCTGCCGCTTCTCTGTAAGAATTCTATGATTTTGAAACATTGTTACATCTTACTATGAAACGTTCGACAAAGAATGGAACGCCAAAAACGCGTTACAGAGTAACGCGTTACAGAGTAACAAGTGGCCGCGCGGCAACTGTGACAGGAAAGCAGTGCATGAAAACATACATGCACACATTTCTATAGCTAAATGCTTAAAAAAAACTATTTAAAGAGCTTTTTAAAAACAACATGCAAAGTTGACATAATAGTTAAATGTTATGCAGTGCTCCGAATATCTTACCTCTCATTTTGACCGCGGTTTCTTGATTCTCCAAAGTGCATGGGGTGCGGAGCAATATTGTTCGGACTAAGTAGCTCACATAAGACAGCTACCTAAATGAAACTTTTCAGCTCCGGCTGTGAGCATTATTAAGAAAATAAAATATAAGAGAGCTCCTCAAAGTAAATACGCGTCTCTAAAGGTCTGCTGTTGCGATGCGCTCTGGGTACAAAAAACGAAAGTAGCTTTCGACGCGTGTTGTGGCGCGGTATGAATCGTCTTCGTCCTCTCTCTCTCTCTCTCTCTCTCTCTCTCTCTCTCCTCTCACTCTACCCTGCTAACCTACTTTCAGACGCGTGGACTCTCACATGATCGCACTGACGCGCATCCAGTCAGCGCTTAAGGTGGGACTATATTCTACTATATTACTATATTCTATAGAATTCGGCAATTCAGAGTGTTTTTCTCATTGTAACACAGTCAAATTGAATTAATTGAATGTAAGCAAGGTTCAATAGGACAGAGGACTTTGTCATAAAGGCATAAATTAATTACATAAATTATTAATTCTATACATTGCATAAAATATTTACATTTACAAAATTCTCTACATTTTCATGCAAAAAAAAAAAAAAGATGAATATTTGTCATGGCTAGCCAAATCAAAGGTTATGAGGGACCAACTAAAAAAAAAATACTATAGAATTCAATAGCTACCGTCAACTCTATGGTTCTTAAAGGGGTCATATGATGTTGCTAAAAAGAACATTATTTGATGTAATGAAATGTGTTTGTGGTTTAAGGTTAAAAAAACACATTATTTTCCACATACTGTACATTATTGTTTCTCCTCTATGCCTTTCTGAAACGCGTCGATTTTTACAAAGCTCCTCGTTCTGAAAAGCAAGGTGTGCTATTAAATTTATCATCATTACAAATAGAATTAGACACTATTTACGAAGAGAAAGCAAGAGGTGCTTTTACAAGATCAAGGCAAATTTGGTTGGAACAGGGGGGAAAAGAATACCAAGTATTTTTTTTAACCTGGAAAAGAGAAATGGAGAAATGTCTTCATTAAATAAATTATTAATAAATAATAATATAGTGTCGGAGGATCAGAAGGAGATATCCCAGTATGTCACTCAATTTTATAAACATCTCTACTACTCCAATTCAGTTCATTCTGACATGGATACATTTCTGAAGGGTTTGGGGAAAGCAAAAACTATTAGTAAAGATTTCAAATAATTTTGTGATGAAGAGATAAAACTAGAGGAGATAAAAGAATGTATTGGGTATTTAAAAGATAATCGATCTCCAGGTAACGACGGACTTCTCAGTGAATTTGATAAAGTCTTCAGGGATAAATTAGCACCGTTTTTGCTTGCAGTATTTAAAGAATCTATAGATAAAGGAGAGTTGCCAGACTCATTAAAACAAGAGGTTATTCCAAAAGCACAAAAAGATATTCTTCACTTAGACAATTGGAGGTCTATTAGTCTTTTAAATAATGGTGCCAAAGTTTTTGCACATACAGTATATTTGCTAAAAGACTGAAACATGGATTAGATGACATTATTGATGAAGAACAGACTGGATTTATTCAAGGACGACACATTAATAACAATAGTAGATAGATTTTAGACATGGTGGATTATAATGAGTACTTATCAGATAATAGTCTTATATTATCTGTTGATTTCCATAAGACTTTTGACACTATAGAACATGATTTTTTGTTTAAAACGATTGGAAATTTTCGGATTTGGCAAATATTTTTTAAAAGCTGTTAAAATGTTATACAAAGGATGCTCTAGTTCTGTAAAATTGGCCCAAGGAACATCTAATAGATTTGAAATTGGCAGAGGAATAAGACAAGATTGTCCATTTTCTCCTTTTCTTTTTCTGTTAGCAACCCAATTATTAGCTCTTCATCTCGCAAGAAAGAATATTTTCAAGGTATTTAAACTATGGGAAAAGAATTTAAGCTATGTCAATTTGCAGATGATACAACACTCTTTCTAAAAGATATACATGAAGTTAATAAAGCTGTTGATTGTATTAATGATTTTTCATCTGTATCAGGATTACATATGAATCTGAGTAAATCGGTTATTTTTGCCTTAAAAAATTGCAATTTATCAAATATATCTGGTATTCCAATCAAAACCACTGTGAATTACCTTGGAGTAATCATATGTAAAGATGAAAAAATTTGCAGTGACTTAAACTTTGATCCAATAATTAGAAAAACTAACAATAGATTTAATATATGGTTACGAAGGGATTTATCTTTGCAGGGGAGGGTCCTTTTGTTCAAGGCGGAAAGAATTTCCAGGTCAGTTTATGTTTGCTTATCACTTGATTTACCTTCTAAAATAGTTAAAACGTTGGACAAATTACTCTTCGACTTTATTTGGAAAAGAAAACCACATTATTTGAGAAAAGAGATATTATGCAATTCAAAGGACAATGGGGGCCTGGAGGTATTAAATTATGATACCCTGCCTAAACAATGTATTTAAAATGAATTGGATTACACAGTACTTAAAAAATAAAGATAATATGTGGAACACATTCCCAAATTTTTTGTTTAAGTCAGTCGGTGGTCTTGAATTTTTGTTAAAATGCAATTATTGTATTGACAAAATTCCAGTAAAACTTGCAAGATTTCATCAACAAGCTCTCCTGGCTTGGACATTGGCCTATAAACATAACTTTTCCCCTAGAAGATATTATATCTGGAATAACAGAGATATTTTATATAAACATAAATCACTTTTTTTTTAATATATGGTTTGAAAATAATATTTTATTGGTTAGTCAGTTGATGAATAGTGA